TCAAGATTATGCAATGCTGCAATTGCAATTAACATTCTTATTGATGTTATCCTCGTAACTGGTGAATATGTGTCAAAGTAATCCAATCCTTCTTTTTGTTTATAACCTTTGACAACAAGCCTTACCTTATATTTTTCAATTGATCCATCAACTTTCATCTTCTTCTTAAAAATCCATTTATAACCCAATGGTTTATTTCCAGGAGGAAGATTCACAAGTTCCCAAGTGTGATTCTGCATAATGGATTCAACTTCGGCATTAATAGCCTCTTTCCATAAAGGAGCTTCAGGAGAAGTCATGGTTTCTTTGTAAGTTTAAGGCTCATTTTCTAATAAATAAGTTAGAAACTCAGGACCAAAGGATTTGGTTGTCTTAGCTCTCTTACTATGCCTGGGTTCATGTTCAGGTTCTGGTTCACTACAGTCTCTTAGTCTATATTTTCTTGATGACCTTCTTGGCTATAGCTATTAACAGTATCATAGGTTCTTGTACGTGTATTTCTTTCTTGTGCATCTTTATAAGGAAATACATTTTCAAAGAAAGATACATTCCTTGATTCAATAATCGTATTCACATGTACATCTAATATATCATATTTGTGTACAAGGAAACGATATACACTACTGTTAATGGCATAACCGATAAAGATACAGTCAATAGTTTTGGGTCATATCTTAACCTTTTTAGGGGTTGGAACCGCAAGTTTAGCTAGACACCCCCACACTTTCAAGTATTTATAGGAAGGCTTGTGACCTTTCCATAACTCATAAGGTGTCTTGTCTAACTTTTTATGAGGCAATTTGTTGAGAATGTAATCAGCATAAAGTAAAGCTTCCCCCCACAAATTCTGGGGTGCTCCAGAACTTACTAGCAAAGCATTCATCATTTCTTTTAAAGTACGGTTTTTGCGTTCAGCAATACCATTTTGCTCAGGTGAGTATGGAGCAGTAGTTTGGTGAATAATTCCGTGTTGGGAACAAAACTCACCAAAAGGTGATTCATATTCACCACCTCTATCACTTCTTAATATCTTTATTTTCCTGCTAAGTTGATTCT